CTAGATTTGTCGGCTAGTGCTGTACTTGGTTTTGATTTTTGCGCTTGGCTCCGTTCGGAGTTGTAAACGTTCGATCTATCTTTCTCTTGGTAATACAAGCTATCTTTGGTTAAAAAAAAAAAAGATTAAACGAACTTATTACGTTAGTCTTTCATAATGATCAAGAAACTACGTAAAGCATATGTAGGGATAAAAAAATTCCTCATGCATCAACTAAACACACGTATTACGTACGTAAGTTTTTTTGTATTAATTAAGACACTACAAAATACTTAGTGAGAAATAGTTATTTCTCATATCAATTAAAACAAACATATGATCTCATGGTATGAAACACGTCCCAAGTCTTTACCGCATATTACACGGCGTCACTTCGTCCCCTTTACCCCCACTAATATCATGATGCAAGTATTTCGTAATGAGACCATTATGTAAAACTTATGAAAGTATATAACATGAACGATTTTATGAATTATTTGATTTCAACTAAATTATTAAATAAATAAATGAAATTTAAAATATAATTAATTATTTATCGATGCGAAGCGCGAACCAAAAAAACTAGTCATACTATTATCGGGCCAAACGGCAAACTATATCATCAACCACGTCGTACAAATCTAATTTTGTAAAATCTGTCACATTTTATAAGAAATAAATTTGACTCATTGTTTTATAAGAGAACAAAGAAGATTCGATCTGATAATTATCACTTCATTCATCAAAACAAAGAACTTCCCTAAAGAAAAGCAAACATGTTTTTTTTCTTCCAGGGGCTGCTAAGGAAGTTGAAGAAGCAGCCAAAGGCCTAGAGCATCCATGGCAATTACCTTACAAGACATGAAAGTTCTAAATGCTGTATTTCCCCGGTCTTTTAATGCTCAATTAGCTAAAAACATTGAGTCCATTTTGGAAAATAGTTTGGAGCAAGGTTGTCAAACCGGTTTAAGTTATTGAGCCAGTCAAGTAAGGAGTTTGAGGTTTAATGGTCTGATTGGAGTCCGGCCGGTTTGAACCGTTTTAGGCGTTTTCTAAATATATGTACAGATAAGGTAGTAATTAAAGATTTAACGACAGAAATAAAATATGTCTTACATATATCTATTAAGAACTTATTTTTCACAAAATAAATCTACCTAACCTCCATGACCCACCCACCATCTCCCTTCCTTCGTTCCTCTTCCTCTCTTCTTCTCCCTCTTTAGGGGTCAGACCGGGCACTTTTTGGAGGCTGTTTTGAAACTCGACTCGGATCAGATTGGGTCCAACTGAGGGTTCATTAAGGGTTTAACAACCTTGAATTGGAGCCATAACGAAAATAGTCGAATAGACCTCAACGAAGAGAATGACTTTTCACTCTAAGTGGTCATTTAAAAGTTTTTCGGTACTCAACCTAGATTATTGAGGGCGAGTCCCCCCTTTCTCCTTGTACAAGAATTGAAAAACCGTACCGTACCGTACCAGAGGTTCGACCAAGAAAATCTTCTATCGGAGACTAAACCGATAGGCGGTATTTAGCGATTGAAATGGTTGAACCACGATTAAACCACGGTTTTAGCATAAAGTACCCTGTCACTAACTTTTTTTATACAACCTCCGATACTGTATTTCAATCATTGCCTTGTACCCTTTCTTGGACTTCACCTCCTTTGAATAAAAAAAACATTTTGTGAACATTTTTTCGGTCATCATTTCGCTTTGGTTGATAAAGAGACAATACACGGAACTAAATATATTTTGAAGATACCAAATATACGATAGCCTAACGATAAAGCTACCGCGACAGTGAAGGTTTGGGAGTTGCAGATCCCAGGTTCGAATCCAAAAGAGGTCCGTTGGTGTTCCCGGATGTACAAGGCTGCTACAGGCGAAGCCCCGTTGGTGTCAAATTCGATTGCAGATGGCCCCAAAATTTAGTAGGACCCGATGCCACAAAATGGCACCTGGGGCTGAGGTTCTGGGTAATAAAAAAAATATTTTGAAGATGAAAAATTTGATGAGCTTACGAACTAAAATAATCTCTCTTTTTTTACAGCTAAATGTAGACATACATGACCAGTAACATTTTTTATGGAATGACATGGCCAATAAATTTTTTTTTTATGAAGTAGTTGTAATTAGACCAATAACATTTTTTATAGAATGACATGGCCAATAAATAATTTTTTTATGAAGTAGTTGTAATTAGAGGTGTGCACGTGAGTAGTTAATCCGCGGTTTGACATCGATCCATCCGCAAATAATCTGAACTGTAATGGGTGGGTAATTGATGTGGGTGAATTGCGGATTGATAAATCTTCTACCCGCACTTATTCTGGTGGGTATTTGCACTTGACAAAAATGGTTTCTTGTTTATACTATCAAATAGTTGTTTTATTTCATAATCACACTACACACTAATCATCGATTTCTAAAGGTGATGGAAATTAATTTATTTGGACTACTATTATTTATTAGAATGTAGTGTAATGTCTATTAGATATTGAGATACAAACTATAAACAATTAATTGTTATTGAAGTAGCAAAATGCGTAAGTTTTCTCTACACTATAAGTTGATGAAGCAATGAAAAAAAATGATGCAAATACTACACGAATCCACAGACGACAAAGTGAAAAGTGTTTAAATTACTAAATTCTTACTAATTTGCCAGAAACTTATTATAAATTGTAGCCAGCTTTCTTGATGACTGGTTAGAGAATTGATATAGTGTGTCAACCCAAAACTCAACCGCACCCAGGTTACAACACTTATATATCATAAAAAATCAGTGTACATTTTTTTTTCTTCAAAATTCCTGTGAAAGAGAATTAACATATATAACTCTTCACTAAAATTTTTAGTTGGTTGGGCTTGAGCCCATATCTTAACAATACTTTAACCCATTATGTGGGATATTTGTCCAATTTTAACAAATATTCAAATGGCCAATTAGATCAACACTAACCCATACTTTCCTGTCAATTTCACTATTCCACAACTTTTCAGGCACCATGTGTCCATGTTGAAACAAATATACATTTTTCTCATTGTCATATTATCTTGGTTTGACACTGGACTAAGGTGTTGGAATCAAATCACAAGTGGCAAATTTACAGTAATTAACCACTTCTTTGTTGATTTCCCTGCTTCTATACAATAACCCATTGTCTATAATTTGGTGGGGGTTCTATTTGAGTTAATTCTTTACCAAAATATATACACAAAGTGACGAATTGGATATCGTGACAAGAAGTAAATGACCGAGAAAATAGAGAGGTCGACAATAAATCTGATTATTGGATATCTTGATAGTGTACTCTCTACCAACCACTCCAAGGAAATACAAAAATACAAAAAAAAAAAAAAAAACAGAGGTGCCTGAGAAATTATGGAGCTTATGGCCACTGCCATCGAGAGAGTGAGAGATAGAGAGGTCGATAGTAGGCGGAACTGGTCGTGATGGTAGCATTGGTAGAGGTGGGGCGGAGAGTAGAAAATGATGAGAGAGAGAGCTCACTATTACCATCTCTAATTGTCACGTTTCTTTTGGTCTAACCATTAATAATAATTGACTTGAAATGATACAATATCAAGAAGAAATTTGATAGATAGACTGTAAATGTACAATTGAACAACTAAACAATCAAATCATACTACGATCAGCAGTATAGGGCTGGCACTTTTCTTGTAAATATATAAACTTGAACTTCACAGCCAAATTTACTTGTACTGTAAATATATGGTTGTATATAAAACCTAGCCAAGAGTAAAGAATAAACTCTGATGTATACCCTGTCCCTGAGATCACTAGAAGTTCTACCAGTAAATCTAGAGAAAAAACCAACATATAATTCTTTTTTGATTGCACAAGAAATAAATAAGTGGGATCTAGTCTCCACAGGATGATCACAAAATACACCAGGTAAGGGCCCCATTAAATCCCAAATTCTGAATTTTGTCACAAGTATTAATCCGGATCTTGTGGATTAACCATCGCTAGGAACTGGTTACTTCGGATATATGATGACTTCCAAACCATGGAGAACCAGGTATCATTAGCAGCAGATGGATGAAAATTGAAAACTATGCCACACTTTTTTAACATTGTACTTTTGTCATTGATCCATTCCTCAAAACACCCCCTATTGAGACAAACATCAAAGAAGCATAAATTTCTCATGTGCATAGAGGAAAGTTCTGAAAGCTAGCAACTAACTGAAGGTCACCTCCACAATAGGGTTGCTGGTGTTTTCTGGGATGTTGATTTAATGGAAATGTACTATGTTAAGAAGGCCTGGGACTCTGTTAGACCAAAGTTTGATAGAGTTGCATGGTATAACTTGATCTGGCAGTCATGCAGCACACCAAGAGACAAAGTTATTGTTCGGTTGATAGTTCTCAACAGGATAAGTACCCTCGACAAGATTAAAGTCTAGAAACCTGCTATATCAAATGTTTGTGCTTTCTGCTAACAAGCTGAAGAATACAGGGACCATCTGTTCTTCAGGTGCCCCTTCTCTAGCTATGAATGTCATGAGAGCTTCTTTCCAGTCTTCCTCCCTTACTGGTGGTAACTGGTCAGACTCTTTAGCATTAGCAACCTCACAGCTAGCAGGGGATTAATGAGCAGCTAGAGATCGGTTGATATGGATGATCATAGTCAGTGAGTTATGGGGAGAGAGATGCAGATGAGTCTATGCTGGTGAAAATCTAAATGAAGTTCATGTTTTGAAGAAGATTCACGCCCTACTGAAGTTGCTGAGGGATGGTTACACTCAAATTGCATCCATCATCGCGGATGCAGATATAAACAGTATTGCTTAGTATTGTTAGCAGCTTTGCTGTAAGTTTGCTGCAGATTCTTATGTTACTGGTTCTATGGTAGGTTTTAGTCCGATAGCTTTCTTTTGTTATCAGACTTGGAGAGTGTTGTAACTAATGACTGCGATTTCGAGGGTTCCAGTTAGGATGGTTGTTCAATACCATCATTTCTTGATGAATACAAGACACTTACTCTTTTTTTTTTTGGTAGAACAAGACACTTACTCTATAAATAAATAAAAAATTTGTAGTAAAAGAGCGCCCAAGATTTTGAGACTGGTCGTTGTACTTGTACAGAATCTTATCATCAGGAATTTAAATCATTTCAAGAGAAAAAACCCCCAAGTCCCGAGCATTAAGTTTCCTCCACTGATGCAGAAGTAGGGTAAACAGACCACTCAAAACCTCAGACAACGAAACTGCATAATCCCCGCATGTATAAGCAACAAAATCTATAAAGAGTAAATACCAAAAAAACAAATTTACATTTCAGTTAATTTGCAACAGTAGCTACCAAGGTTTCAGATCACCAACAGGACCCGCAGTCCAGTTCAAAACCTTCTGCCCAGGCGCCAAGTAGATGCTCTTGTCATGTGGCAGTTTTCGTGCCAGCCCATTCAGAACCTGATGGAACGCATCTCCTGGTTGAGCCGGTTGAGGGAACAACATTGCCTGCTTCATCGAAGGGTTTGCAAGCAGCCTCTGTTTCCTGAGTATTGTCTCCGGTGGGATCGAAGTGAGGATGGTGTCCAAGTTGGGTACATCTTTCTCATCAACAAACACCCCGATCTCTTCCCACGGGATTGCATCGGCAAAAGGAAGGACGATGTCGTCGGCTATAATCACCGGGATACAACCAAATACCACGGCTTCAACCAATCTCGGGCTCCATGGCGCCCACCCAAGTGGACACAGACAGAAGACGGCTCGTTGCATGTCTTCATAGTATGTGGTCGGGTGTTCTGTGGATATGTCAAACAGCGGATTGTCTTTGAAGTTCTCCCACACTGCTGCCCGTGCACCTCTGTAGAAAGTTTGGAACAACAGAAGCTATAGTCAATGCTATCCTGTACTTACAATCTTTTATGTGCAAGTAATTGAGCATACTGAGCATCCAACACCTTTATTCCAAAAAAAAAAAAAAAATAGCATCCAACACCAATTCTAAACAATATATAGGTATTGTATACTACCTTGCATAGTAGCCACCTTCTGGGTCGTTTCCCACATCATAAAACAATCCTCTGAAATAGACAAAGATTGCTCTAGGAGTTTTTTCCGGGATGAGATGGGATTGCATCTTTTGGGGAGGAGCGTACGGTGGAACAGTGATAGATCCCTCTTTTAAGCAAACATGATTCCGCTGGCCAAATGTTTGCACTAAGGTAGCTCGTCGAAGCATTGTGAGAATTCCTCTTTCAATTGCCTTTTCTTCCTGAAAGCAATCATATTGAACAATGAAACAGGAGTTAAACACAATTATTTTAGTTCTATTCCTTGTGAAACTCAAGATGAGATAAAGGGAGAAGAAAGAAGCTTTACTCACTTGATAATGGAAGCATGCTCCAAAGTCATGGGGCACAACAAAAAAGTGATCAGCTCCTTCAGTTCTATTCCAATAAGGCCAGTTTGAAGAAATGAGTTGTATAGCACTTCTCATCATTCTTGGTGACTTAAAAGGCAAAGGAAGGCCATTTGGTGTCAAGTCACAAGTGGTGTACACAGGCGTATAGAACCAATCAGCTTCTGCAGGATTGAGGGTTCGAACTGGACTAGACAAGAGAAAACGGTGCATATAAATCTCAGCTGCAAACATGTGATTAAGACATCTTTGATCTTTCTGCAGAATCTTCTTGTTGTATTTGCTTGGAAGTTCATAAACAAAAACTTTCAACCTTCCAACTGGATCATCCTCCAAAACATCCCCGGCACTACCTGGACGCCATGAAAACGATTTAGCTTAACTTAGCCACAAAGCAGAAAACTTCACTGGCACAAAATTCCCAAATCAGTGCCAAAGCATTAGCAAATGCTGGAGTTTCATTGGATAAGATAATAACAACCACAAGGAAATTTAAGAAAAGCCAGAAGGAAGCGGAATGACCCATCCTAGTGATCTCCTTGAACTATCCACTTCACTATCAGCAAATATAAAAAAAAAACCCAAAATCAACACATGTTCCTTGCTTCCTTAAAACTTGGTCAAACTGAAGTCAAATTACAGCCACCAAACATAAGCACAAATTTCCTACCAATCCCGGTTTAGTCACTACCTGCTCAGCAATCAGTCTAATTTGTTCCAAGTATCCATTGGCAAGACAAATTTGGGTTGGCAGCAATTCAGCTCCAAAGTTCAACAAAGGCTCTTGGATTCATAATACACGACTTCAATGTTGATTAATCAGATACACTACCAAACCTAAGACTAGAAAAGATCAGAGCTTTATCAGAAACTAAAGGGAATGTTCAACAAAGTCAAATACGGGACAGTGTTCTTTCTAAATACTAGGAAGGAAACTGAAACTGGCAGCAATAGATTTCAAATCAAACTCCCGGGTCCCTTCTCGGATCCTAGAAATCTACGATGATTCCGGACAACCCATCAAACCGAAGTTCAAACTTGACCTGATTAAGCATCTGAGGGAGCGGGAAATGACCACGAAAATTTAATTGACCGCGAAAAACAGCTGCAACTATAACTGACTCACAAGGAAATGAAATCGGGAAATCGAAAGAAAAGGAAATCCGAACCTGAAATCCTCTCGGTGGGCGGATTCCTCCCCAGCCCCACAGCACAACTTACAAAAGCGGCGTGGCAGAGTATCAAAGCGAAAACGCAATTCCTAATCTCCATCTCTGACCAGCAAAGCTTGATGAAATCAACCCCTGCCTAGCTGAATGATGGGAGAGGTTAAGGATGGTGGAGAAGAGGGGGGAGTGACCCCAGAAGAAAACGGAGGTAGAGTTTTAAACAGGAAGACAAGGAAAAGGTGAGATTTGTAGTTGGAATGTCGCAAGAGAAGGTAGTTAAGGGGGAGGTTTTCGCGAGAGCAACAACCGGAGGAGTTGGGGAGTTTTCTTTGTTTTGTTTAATCGAAGGATTCAAAGAGGGAAGAACACGCGAAAGAGAGATGACAAGCGAAAGGCCAGCAAATTCACTACACTGGAATTTGCTTCAAGGCTGTCGAAACGATTTATTTCATTGTGCTGTGCAAGTTTCACTAGTGATACGGTCCGGTACAAACGGTTTATTATATAGTTTATGTCAGTTCTAGCATAACATATAAGTGAAAAATCATTAACAGTAAATAATATTAGGCACATATATAACAATATTGAAATACAATTTCTCATTTCAAACAAAATAAAAGCAAGGATGTGCCAAACTAGCTAAATCATATATGCTCATAGAAACCAACAACCTTCTTACAAAACTTATGAGCAAAAAGGGTTCTACATAACCCGTCGAAGAGAGAAGGGCGAAGGAACAAAGATTGGTCTTGCCATCGTGCCAAAAACGAGAGCTTATGTGAAACCTTTTCTTTCTGGCATAACTACGGACTACGGTGGAACATACGAAGTTGCTTGAGTGAAAGGAGAGGAACGAATATACTCGACACTTCATTTTTTTTATGATAACCTGTGTCGAACACTTCATATTTAAATAGAACATTTAACACAAACATCCCAAATTTTATATTTGAACCCAATAAATAACATAAACATATATAAACATTCATATATGAATATAACAAATAACATCAACATTTAACTTTCAAATTCATGAACTAAATCAAAAATTATTTTTTGAAAACTTTTTTTGTTTGTATGTGTTTAATCCCCTATTGTGTTTACGAGTCTTTGCTAAACGTGAGTAGCTATGGTATGCAGAAATGAATAGGTGACCTTGGTGGTAAAGAGTCACCCCAAAAGAGAACCATGGTTTATTGGTCTCGTCCAAGGGTGGAGGCTATCTAATCTCCATTCAAACATCAGGAGAACCTCACATTTGAGATTTAGACGTGCATAATAACCATGATTCAAACAAGCATCTAATTCCACATTTTGAAGGATGAGGATCCGCATAGCCATATTCACACTTTCCTTGACTTCACCGATGGAATCAACTTGGTTAGAATACCGTAAGAGGCTATCCAGGAAAAGGTATTCTCATTTCGTTGAATGGGATAGCTAGGAAGTGGTTAGTCAATCAACCAAAACTCTCCATTACATCTTGGAAAGACCTCTATGTGAAGCTCATCAACCAATAGTTTCCTCCCTCAAAAGCATTTCAACTTCGAGGGGAAATCTTTCACTTTCAACATGGTGCAAGAGACTTTGCATGATGCATGGGAAATACATAAATCTTTCCTTGTCAAATATCATAACCATGGTTTTGAAAGCTGGCTTCAAGTTTTTTGTGGTGGAGCAAGTTTTTTGAAGGCCGAAGCAAGTGTTGTCGAACAAGTTTTTTTGTAGTTTGAACTCTTAGTACCAGAACTTCATATACTCCACAACCAAGTCTGTATTTCTACATCGAGCGATTGAAGACACTCTTCGTTCAATCCTAGAATTTAGCAACATGGTTGATAGGTTAGAAGAAATACTGGGTCAATTTGTGTCCACATGCAGCAGAGGTTGGATTTCATAGACAAGTTTATTTTGAATGCCCATCAGCATTTTCTAGCACTCAAGAAAGCGAAACGACTTCAACATACTTCTCTTTGCATAATGGAGTATAATATAGACTGAATTATTGAAATATTGATGTCAAAGGAAATGGGTGCATCTTCAAGTAATACTTAGTTATCTCCACAAGAAGAGTCTTCTCCTATCACTCTTTGTACTGAAATGGAAGTACAAGTACCCTAGAATCCAGTTACCGATGAAATTTCTCTTGGCAAGAAGGCATTTAGTAAATTGAACAAAGCATTTGAAAGTTAAGAGGAGAACCTAATTTGAAGGGCGAAGCCCCCTCATTGGAATAGAGGCTAAGAGTGGATGACGGTGTCAAGGAAACCCAAAAGTTACCGAAGATAAGCCTAGAGTTCATAATCTTTACTAACTTAATAAAGTGGAATATGATGAGAATTATTCCAACTATATTGACATAACACACAAACTAAAAGACAATATTCAATTCCTTGATATGATAATTTTGGTAACTAAACAAACAAGATTCATCAATTGGGTTCTCTCGGAGAGAAGAAAGATTGATGTTGCATCATGGTAGGTTTAAGAAAGGTGTGCTCGGCCTTCATTCACAACAAGCCCCCACTTAAGTGTAGGACCCTTGTACATTCGTCATTTCGTGGTCCATTGGCATTATGAATACAAATAAAACATTAGTGATTGATCACAGTATAGTGCAATGTAATTAATACAATCCTAGATGAACTAGGGTCATGTTCCACGAGGTCTTTGGATAGTAACTACTCAAACCTAACCAACTTGTATTCGAATGATGATTCAAAGGAAAGTAAAGATGATGGATTGAGGTGCCCTTAGTCGAAATGCTAATGTACTAAACAATAATGACAAGAAAAGCAATGCAAATAAGAAATAGAATCAAAGCAAGTAAAAGCATTGTTTAGGTAGTGATGTTCTTATGATCATGCATACTAACTCATTATAAGATTCTTCTATGAATAATCTATTATGATGCCTTATCCCTTTCACTAAGGCTATCCTACTCGAGCTTTTGCCACATGCAATAGGAACTTGACTAGGTAATGCGTGCTTTCGCTTCATGCCATCACCTAATCAATGAACAATAAGGAAGTTAGTATATCATATGGTTTCGGGTGTCTTGAGCCATGAATCATAATCTATAGCATCGATGATCTAACGATCAAGCATCCATACTACTCGAGGTATAGATAGTTTTGTCATTCCATCTATACTCATGTAGCATCAATGGGATCTCACTAGAGAGTAATTTTTTAACAATCTAGATGATACTAAGCATAAATCATATAGTAGCACATAATGGAATTACCTAGATCTAGATGAAATTAAAAAAATGACACAAGATGATACTAAGCATAATTCATATATTAGCACATAATATATAGAATCATAAGCATTGATATTCTAAAGCATACATAGACTAAAGTATTTAATAACATAAGCAATAGATGATACAAGCATAAATTGACTTAAACATCGATGGTAAAGATCATTGAACACAATAGACATCATCATTGAATCATTGAAAGTAGTATATAAAGCTAAATTGACTTAACCATCGATGGTAAAGATCATTGAACACAATAGATATCATCATTGAATCATTGAAAGTAGTATATAAAGCATCATAGAGTCACATCCCTAAAAAAATTCGAGCTAGCTATACATAGGAGCATAGCAAGACATCGGCAATGATATTGGCATCGATGGTGAAGACTCATCGTCGAATTCCTGCAGGATTTCGCCTCCTCTATATGGATTTCTAAGTCGTGCCCATAGGGCAGAGTCCTAGTAAAAGGTTTTTTAAGAGCTCTAGCCTAAACCTCTAACTATACTAGTTATAGAAGGGGGGTTTCTAGTCTTCTTCCTCTAGAAGTTGGCTAAAGCGTTCATTGTACGACTTGAACTTGGATTCCTTCGACTTGTGGACGAAGTAATCTTGAAAATGAGGATTTTGGAACGTGGGCTAGAGTGGCGGGTAGGGTCGCCACTCAACTCTTTGTTTGGCTTGGTTGCTTGGCCCACAAGCAACTTATCCTTCAAATTTTGGTGTTTTTTGAGTTGTAGAACTCTGGTTGGACCTCGATTAAAGTTGGGTTTGCTTCACTACCATATATGCTTGTTTTGACTGTAAAGTGAGCATTTGATGTCCAAATCCATCTTCGTTTGAGCGTATGAGCTTGTATTATTGTCCTCCTTCTAATCCATTGGTCCCTTAGTGATCCATATTCGTCTTGAGTGCATTATATCATTGGGGAAAAAACAAAATAACACCAAAAGGCATAAAATAGTGCAAAACACACTCTGGGTCTATCATAAGTTGATGATTCAAATAGTTATGATATTCATATGAAATATAGTGAAATCTACTAAAGTTGCATTGATAGAGGTGGAAATGTACCAAATATGGGGGGTGGTAAACACCATAGGTTTTGCATCATCAGAAATACCCCACACTTGAACTTTGCTAGTCCCCAAGCAAACACTACTCACAATCAGACGACTCAATGAACACTAAGAAGCATCACTTAACCATGATCATAGGTAGTGGATCATAAGTGAACATACAAGGTCAATAATAGCACGAGAGAATCCTACCCACATTAACATGCAAGAACATCATGTAATCTACTCCAAGCATAAACAACTAACCATGCATTGGAGTCTCAAAACACATAGGGTGAAGCTTTTGATAAACATTTTTTAGGTACTCTTTTTCTTTCTTCCCTCGATTTTTCTTCTCTTTTGAACATAATTTTTTTTCCTTTTCTAGACTTTTCTTATTTGGAGAGCTTTCTATATCATTCGACCCTTATTGGTTGAGGAAGAGTTAGAAGCTTATATACCTCAATTCGTGTGGAGGGCCAATGAAATTAACGAGTGTCGGAAGCTTTATCAGTGCCCTTAAGAACACATCCTCAAGTTGGCTATCAATTCAACGGTGGAAATTTTACTTGTACTAGAGAGGAGCTAGCATCACCTAGTAGGACTTTTCCACTAAAGATCAACTAGTATCTCTTCCAAAACCCAATTTTGTGCAATGGAAAGATGACTCACACGTTGGGCCTACCCCACACTTTATTTCTTCGCATATAGCATGGAAATTTTCAAATGATAAACATGCCTTGGTAGGTAGGTTTTCATTTTGTAGGAGATACCGTTCACCTTTTGAAAAACTTGGCAATAAAAAACTGTTTTGCATAATAAGAAATTTATGGATGAACTAAACAAAATAGCATTCAAACAAATCATATGGTCAGTATATCCCATTGACCACGGCATCCTTCATAGTCACTAAACTATCCTCCCTAGATTGAATGACACTCCATATACTCATTGGTTCAAACTAATATTAGCAGTGAAAATGCTTATAGGGGATGATTGAGAATCATTAGATGGAGAACATCTTTAGTAATTTAAAAAAAAAAAATCACACAGATCACATAACTACTAGACTTTGGATAAAACTTCGAAATTGAATGACTAAAGATATATCATGTATCAAGCATAACAAGGTAGCACGTAGCACACAAT